CTCTAAATAGTGTCGGTTTTTGTTAGCAAATTTATGCAACGACGAGGAGTTTTGTTGAGTCTAGAAAAATAGATTGTTTGCGCGGACGCCGGTTCTTCGCTAGACTCGTGAGGTCGCTTTAAGATCGCTTCTATTTTGAGTTATCATTTTAGTGCGTTTACGCGATAACGAGGTCGGTCTAAGTGTTGAGTGATTAAATTAACTTACCTTTGTTTGCAAGTAATTTACGTCAATTTGTATAGTGATTGCATTTTGAAGCGCATTTGTAATATTTCATTTGCTTGTGGGGCCTGTTAATATCGTACGAAAGAATTTAGTTGTTGTGTGGAACGCTGAATTTTGGGACCCGAGAGAAGGTCGCGTTCGGTTTCTAGAAATAATCTGTTGCTAAGTGAAAATGGAAGTTGAACTTTGATCGCCCGTTCGTGCCGTGTGTTTGATTACGATTAACGGGGATTGAGTTGAGTTTGAAGTTCATTAAATGTACAATAAAGCTGATAAACTGAAATAGTGAAGTGACGTCAGACTTGAGTTCAGATAAAGTGAACTACCACTTTTGGAGAACATCAGCGCCTGAGGATCTGCAGTCCGACTTCACCGGGGAGATCAGGTTACACATGTACATACTACTACACACTACTTACATGCATATACTTAACGCCTGACCGCGCCTTGGGGTCGGTCCTCGATTCGGAACCAGGTAAGTTCTTATTAATTACCTAGCCTTACATCTATTGTGTAGGATAATTGTCCATAGGCCATTTGGGCCCCGTCCTCTGTTGCCCGTCGATTGGATTACTCATGGGCTCTAGTCCAGTCAACCTTTGTCGGGGCAACTCAGGGCGTAAACAGTGTTATTCTGTTTTATGTACCTAAATAATAAAATAAAATAGAATAAGGGTGACAAAAGAGCACATAGTCCACTTGATAGTAAGTGGATGCCGTGGCCCATAGATCTACATTTATCCTCGATTAAGAATCAAAACGTAGGTCACCCACGAAGATTAACATGGAATGCCCCGTATCGAGTAAAAATGGTGTGCATATCTCTGCACTCACCATACGAAACACAGTATCATTAAGCTGCTATTTCACGCTGATATTCTGTGAGAGCGTGGTACTTTCGCATTCAAGCCGGGTAATTTGTGCTGCAACCACATTACAGCTGCAGCGTGGGTCTACTGTATATCTATCTATGTATCCGTCTCTCCTCTACTTTATGTAGATGCACTTTATAATCACTTTACAAAAACCGTTATGAACCTACCGCAAAAAGTACAAGTAGAATAGCTTCTACTTTATTGTTTTCTTGCAATCCAGTCCGTCCAAAGGTTGTCTGGAAGAGATCGGTCTTAGCGATAAGACCGCCCATTGTACCACATTTCTTTTCCTAATTTTTTGTTAATATATATGTTATTTTTTGGCGTACAATAAAGTGTTATCTATCTATCTATCTATATTTAAAAATTTAAATAAATAATAGATAATCTTTTTAAGGCTGTATTTTTTACTCTCTTTAGAAAGTCATATATATATGACTTCTTATTAAAAATTGGCAACCCTAGTGAGGAGCGGGACTCGACAAGGCAATTTAGTTATATGCTTTCAGGGTAAAGCGTGTAGCAAATGATGCGCGCGTGTTTCATGGACCGCCGAACTCATGAATAATCATCGTCTCCCCAAGTGACGACATAATATACAGAACGAGAGTAAATATACAAAAGAAAGATAACTAATATATAAAAATCTATTTTAGATTGTTCGTATTTTATGTGCTCATTAATAAAATGAGAGTTATACGAGTACTGTGACGAACATACACTACACTTACTTACTAATCTGTGGACACATATAGCACTCCAACTGCAAACAAAGAAAAATAAAGAATCCTAAAGACCATTTCTACTAGTTAGTAGAGTTTACGCACCTGAATTTTGATTCTAAATCGATGTTAGACGCATGTACCTCGTTGACCAGAGCATTAGTCATATCATCAGCTGAACTGTGAGCTCGTTTGTCCCGTTTACTTTATAAAATACGTTGTTTACAATAGCATATGTGAAAATAGTACTCTAGTGTTCGGAGCCCAGGTGTTAATGAAAAACGTATTGTTCGATGACTGAGATGACCTACTACAAGACAGTTTATTAGGTAACCTACTTAGGTATTTACACCACTACACTACGTATGAAAAAAATTTAATTTTAAATGAAAAAGAAAGTACAGTATAGAACAATAGTGCACGAGCGCGTGCGCTAGCACAGGTGAACTCGCGATTACGTCAATCACATATGATGTGACAGCAATCAGACTTGACTGGAGAGAGACCAGGTGTAATATCAATGGCTTTACGTGCTTTCTGAGACACGCTCGTGAAACACCGCCAACTTCGTAATTCTGCGATTTTTTGTCTAAACCATCAAATAAAAATAGCCCGTAATAAACCACCGCTGAACATAGTCAGTCATTTTTCTCAAATTTTCGGATGCTTTGCGATACCCATGGCCACCGGGAGACTGAGGTATTCCACGCCCTTATGTTAAGATTAACATCAGGTTAATGTAAAGGATTACGAAGACCTCTGTTCATGCTAATATGGTGTCATATGATACTGAGTGGGAGGTAAAAGACATACAGTATGCCGCTGAGTTTACACATATTAAGACGCAGATCGCCTAACTCTGCAGTTATGGTGAACTTATGAACTTGACCCAGTTCAACGCGAACTACATCGTAACTCCCTCAGTAGTTAAATCGACGTTAGTAAACAATGATTTTTTCAGGAACTTTGCCAAGCCTCAACAAGCATTGTTGAGTATACTACAGTCTAAAACAGAATTTCGAATATGAAAGAAAGTCAAACAGCAAGAACTGCGTTTTAAAAATATTATAGCGTGAAACTAAATTGTAACAGATAATTGACGAAGCTCATAAACATCCACGACTAATCGAAAGTAGAAATGGTCAGTTTTCTATTCCGATGTCTAAGATGGATAACCTCACAGCCTGAACGTAACCTGGATCTCCTTCCCTTCTAACCAGAATACACCACTAGGTACACTATAGCATAGCGGTAGGCTTCCTGTACGTATCATATCAAAGCAGTACACGCACTGCTTTGCAGCACAAATAGTAAAAAGGGCACCTACGCAACACTATAGTCAACAACCTACGCAAACAACCAAATCCTTTCAATTGAATGTTAATTTCATATTTTTTTAAGAAACAAGGGCACATCTATCCGTGCAAGTGCGTAGTCACCTCTGCATACTCACTTTTGCCGAAAATAGGAAAAACTATTTTACGCTGGTATTCTGTGAGAGCGTGGTTCTTCCCCAGTCGAACCGACCCATTCGTGCTACAACTATACTACTAATGGCTCTACCACTTATAAAACCGCTCTTTGTGGTGCGACGACAGTGCCACCACATACATATTTCCCTTCTTATACACTAAATGTGTGATGGCGGTGTAAGACCACCCCTAACACAACACAAGAAAGACCACGCTCTCACAGAATACCAGCGTAAAATAGCAGCTTAACGCTGCTGTGTTTCGTATGGTGAGTGTAGAGAACCGGAGACCCTTTTTACTGGAAATGAGGCATTCCACCTTAGTCCTCACGGGTGACAACGCATCTGCATTTTGATTTGTAATTGAGGATAGATGTAGATGTCTATGGGCCACAGCAACCACTTACCATCAGGTGGACTGTGTGCTCGTTTGTCATCTTATCCTATAAAAAAAAAGCTGTAATTCATGGATACTATAAAAATGCGATTTCCAGGTTCTACCATAGCTACTTAATCCGTATTGTATTATCGATTCGGCCAGAGCCTTGTAAAGGGATAACAGTATAGGATAGGGAAATTTATATTTAATTATAGAAAATTTAGCAAGTATGGCCCTTGACTTATACACACAACTTTATTAATATGGTGCGTCCATTTAAATCGACTGTCTATTAAGAGTCCAAGGTAAGGATCTTGTTCTACTATATCGATATGATTACAATTACAAGTCAGGTTAGACATGTTATTATGAAGACATTGGTGACTGTGGGCAATGAGTTTTAAAGGAACGTATACTCTATTTTGACTGGACGAAATGTACATCAAATTTGTTTTGGTGGGGTTCAGAATCAGCCCTGCACCGTGAGACCATTTCATAAGGTTGGTGAAATCCTCATGAAATTTCTGTAATGTCAGATTTATGTGGTTCTCCGCCGACGCAGACGATAGACGATAACTGCTTACTAGTAAGCAGTTATCGTCTGCAAATTGATATATCTTGCAGTTTTTAATGACATTGGCAACATTACTAACATAAGTCAAGTAATGCAAAGGCCCAAGCACAGAGCCCTGGGCGGTATTATGGGTGACGGTTTGCTTTATACTTGTAGCATTTCCTACTTTAACTCTATATCCTCTTTCTTTAACATTATCTTTGCACCAACTCAGAAGGGGTCCTCGAATTCCACATTCATCAAGTCTTTCAATCAGTAAATCATACCTTAGGGTGTCAAACGCTTTACTATAGTCAATAAAAACAACTAGAACATGTTTTTTTATTGTCAAGATAATAGTTTACGTTGTCAGTGTAAGTAGATAAAAGTTGAGTGGTACTTTTATGCTTCTGAAAACCATACTGACTTTTATTTAAAATTGAGTGTTGACTATAGAAATTATTTACTTGTTTACTTATATATTTTTCAATTATTTTATCTAGGATAGGCAGTATTGTTATTGGACGATAATTGTCGTAGTCCGTTCTTTTACCTTTTTTATGTATGGGTCTTATAATTCCGGTTTTTAATTCAGTAGGGTACTTACCTTTTTTAACCATGGTAACGGGAGGGCAGGAGGTGCTAAGAATCTCCGGTGGAGGTTCGGTTGCCACCTAAGACGACTCGACCTGGCAACATACAACGCACGCACCCTGAGGACTGACGAGAAGATGTTTGGGCCTGCCTCAACTTCTGCGGCCCTCCGGTCGGCCTTCTAAAAGGCGTTTGGGTACTCTGGCCTCGTCCATTCGCAACACGTGCCCTGCCCAACGCAGGGCCCGATCTTTATGTTCTTAATTACGTTTGGCTCCTCGTACATTTGGTATAGCTCGTGGTTATAACGCGTACGCCATCTGTCATTTTCCATCACAGCTCCGAAAATGCGTCTTAGTATTTTCCGCTCAAATACCAATAAGAAATTTTCGTCTTTTTTGCTCAGCACCCAACATTCGGAACCGTAGGTGAGTATGGGTCTTAGTAAAGTTTTGTACAAGAGAAGTTTTAGGCTTCTTGAAAGAAATTTCGAAAGTAAGTATTCTAGTAGTCCGAAGTAGCACTTGTTAGCCGCCATTATTCTCCTACTTATTTCTGAAGACAAATCGTTGTTATCGGTTACTAAGGATCCCAGGTATACGAAATCATTAACGCTAGCGAAGGTGTTGTTGCCAATATTACCTCCTTGTAGTAGAGTTTGCTGGTCTTTTGACGCTTGCAGGTACTTAGTCTTAGCCATGTTTACTTGGAAAGCAGCCTCCGCAGCTGATTTTTTAGGAGCAAGGTATGCACTCTCCATTGCAGGTAGAGATCTTCCTATCACGTCGAGGTCATCCGCATACCCTAGAATTTGAACGAATTTATGGTAGATAGTGCCTTTGGTCTCGGTCTTTGAGTCGCGAATACACTTGTCGAGAGCGATGTTGAACAGTAGGCACAAGAGCGCATCCCCTTGTCTTAAGCCGTCACTGGTTCTGAAGGATTTTAATACATCTGTTTGAACTCTAAAAACGCTCTGAGAGTTTCTAAGATTCATCTCCATCAGGCGCACGAGCTTTGTTGGGATGCCAATCTCCATCATAGCCTGGTACAGGAAACTTCTGTGCACATTGTCATAGGCAGCCTTAAAGTCTACGAAAAGATTGTGAGTGTTTACGTTGTACTCAAACGTTTTTTCAAGGATCTGCCTAAGCGAGAAGATTTGGTCTACTGTGGACCTGTTTAGACGGAACCCACAATGAAACTCTCCCAATCTGGTTTCTACATATGGCTTTAGTTTATTAAAAAGCATATTGGCAAAAAATTTATAACCGGTGTTCAAGAGAGATATGCCTCGGTAATTATTGCACTCCAATATGTTGCCTTTCTTATGTAGGGGACAGATAACAGATGTATTCCAATAATCAGGCATTTTTTCATTGTTCCAAATTTGGAGCACCAGGTGGTGAAACTCTTTCTCGAAACCAGTTCCGGCATACTTTATAAGCTCGCCTTGGATGTCGTTCATTCCCGGAGATTTGTTATTTTTAATGGATTGAGTGGGTCGTATAGTATCTTCTATAGTGGGGTACAAAGATTCATCAGTCTGTTGATTGTTTACTAGAACTTCAGGTACTGGTACAGAAAGTGGACGAGTCTGCACTGAACTGTTAAGGAGTTCACGAAAGTATTCAGCCCATCTTTGAACGATCTCATCTTTATCATTAAGTAGCTGTCCATTCTTACTTCTACACGCCGTGGTTCTGGGTTTGAATTCTTTCCGTCCCGTATTCACTTGGTTGTAGAAGTTTCTAGTTTCCTTTTGTGTGTAACTAGATGCAGTCTCACGCAGTTGTTGCTCTTCATGCGATCTTTTATTTCTTTTATGTAGGTATTTTTCTCGTCTCCTTCGCTTCTTATACAGTTCTTCACGCCCGCGAGTGTACTTCTGTTGCATTAATCTGTACGCATCACTTTTCTCATTAGTGATCTTCTGACATTCATCTTCAAACCGGTCGTACGCTTCAGTTTTTCCTCTAATCCCAAAATCTCACTAGCAGCCGTAGATAAAACCCCTTTAAGATTCCACCAGGTGCTATCAAGATCGCCAATACTGTTGCTATTTCTTTCGCCCACTTTCATAAGTTGTCTGTGAACTGTGTCCATATATTTGTATTTGACATCCTGCTCTCTCTTCAGCCTTGTTGTGTCAATCTTTTTTGTTCTTACCATTTTGGTGTACTTGTACCGTGATATTTGTGCTCTTATTTTGCATACAACAAGATGGTGATTGGAGTCGATGTTTGCTCATCTACGGCTTCTGACATCCAAAAGATTAGAGCAGTGTCTCCCGTCTAATAAAATATGGTCTATTTAGTTTCGGGTGAAGTTATTCGCGGAGACCCACGTTATCTTATGGATATTCTTGTGTGGAAAGCGTGTGCTGCCGACGACCATTCCTAGGGAAGTTGCCAAATCAATGAGACGTGTGCCATTGTCATTACATGTTTCATGTAGGCTGTGGGAGCGTATCGTTGATCGATATATACTTTCTCTTCCCACCTTGGCATTCAAATCCCCAATTATAATCTTGATGTCACCTTTCGGAGATTTAGAATACACGCTTTCCACATCGGAATACCATCTTTCCTTCTCTTCTAGGTTAGTATCTTCCATCGGAGCGTGTACATTAATGATTGTGTAATTTTGAAATTTACCTTTAAATCTGATTTTACACATACGTTCATTAATTGGTTGGAAATCAATTACAAGATGTTTTAGGCGTTTGCTCACGACGAAACCTGTTCCAAAGGTATGATGCTTTTCATTACAACTATAATGTTACATATTCTAACTATATATTCTACGTGGTAGAGCCATGCTGCAGCTATATTAGTAGTATATTTGTAGTACGAATGGGTCGGCTCGACCGGGGAAGGACTACGCTCTCACAGAATACCAGCGTAAAATAGCCAATAAAATAACGCAATGTACTAACGATCTAAGTTCCTGGACCGCTGTTATATCAGCTCTGTGATTTGCAAGTTGTTGACAAAAGTTGAAGGCCCGCTGGCCTATACAGTATTCTAAGTTCCATGTACATAAGGTAAATTCATTAGCCATTATTGAGTAGCTAGATCGTTGGTTTAAAATCCGGTCCGTAAGTTTTGCTTTTCCTTTCACAATCGTTTGTGTTCAGACGAGTGGGTGATTAACTCCCTGCATCCTAGGCCTTTAGTGGGGCTGCCACTTTTGAGCTCAAGACCTAGCTCTATTATAGCTGTAAATGTAACACTTCGATATCAATAGACCTAGCGTTTATTTTCAGATATCGTCCCTTCCGAGTTGAAACCAGTTTTAAGGCGCCGGTTGCTCGCCTTCGCCCTTTGTCCTTAGCATCTGCGCTCAGATAAAGGAATGGTGATCGTACTTAGAGTACGGGCGCAGAAGGTCCCAGGGGGTACGACGGGGACGTGGACAGACCGGACTAGTTGGTACCTGCATACTTGTGCTCCGCCATCAGAGCACTGCAGTCAGAAGACGGGTTTTTTATAGAAGTCACAAAGCTCGGGTCTTAGCGACCCCACCCACACCCAATACCAACTTCACCCCCCTTTTCTGGTCAATGTATGTTTTATGTGATCAAATGTGTTTATCTGATTATATAAAAGCATTACTCAGGAATCAAACTTTTGAGAGCGAGGGAGAGCAGTTTATCTTTAATTTCAGTATCTACCTAATTCTATCGAAATATGCAATTAATATTCTTTGACGAAGATAAATACAGATACTGAGTTGTTGTTTACATTTCATTTGCAACGTTGTGCATTATATAAAACACAAATGGTATCCATTCTACTTTTGTTATCTTTTAATCTATCTATCTATCTATCTATATTTTTTTTTATAGGAGAGGGGGCAAACGAGCATGCGGCTCACCTGATGGTAAGTGAACTGCAACACCAGGGGAATCGCAGATGCGTTGCCGGCCTTTTAAAAAGGAGTACGCTCTTTTCTTGAAGGTCCCTAAGTCGTATCGGTCCGGAAAAATCGCTGATGGTAATCGATTCCACAAGGAGGTCGTGCGAGGAAGAAAACATCTTCTAAATCGCACAGTGGTGGACCGCCAATCATCCAGATGGTGTGGATGGTATCGGGAGTTCTGCCGCGATGTGCGTTCGTGAAATTTGGCGGCTGGGATTAATCCGAACAATTCCTCAGAGCACTCCCCATGGTAGATGCGAAAGAAAATGCAAAGGGATGCAACATCTCTTCGCAGTGCCAATGAATCGAGCCGATCGGAAAGGGCTCGGTCGTCGACAATTCGAGCCGCTCTGCGTTGGATGCGGTCAAGTGGAAGGAGCTGGCACTGGGGAGCCCCTGCCCAGAGATGGGAACAGTATTCCATGTGAGGCCGAACTTACGCCTTGTAAAGTTGCAGGCGGTGTGCCGGCATGAAATACTGTCCCGCTCTGCTGAGCACGCCAAGCTTTTAGAGGCCAATTTGGCCTTCCCTTCCAAGTGACCACGAAACTGCACGTCACTCGATATGTCGACTCCGAGGATACCGATACTGGCTGAGGCAAGAAGGGGAGTGCCTTGAAACTGAGGAGATACGACAAAGGGGTTCTTTTTAGCGGTAAACGCGCAAACTTGTGTCTTCTGAGGATTAAATTGGACTAGATTTAGTCGCCCCCAATCCGAGACTTTGTTCAGCAAAGATTCGACTTCAGACACAAGTTTGTTCCGGTACTCAGCGACGTTTTCCCGAGAAATATTGGCACGGCCGGTGTATAGAGCATCACCAGTGCTGTCATCCGCATAGCAATGAATGTTACCAGTTAGCAACATATCATTGATATGCAGAAGAAACAGCGTTGGTGATAGCACACAGCCTTGTGGAACACCAGCGTTAATAGGCTTGTAGTCAGAGCATGCACCGTCTACAACGACCTTGATGCTCCGATCTACAAGGAAGCTGGTGATCCAATTGCACAATTTCTCGGGAAGCCCATAGGAAGGGAGCTTCGAAAGAAGCGCTTTGTGCCAAACCCGATCGAAGGCCTTCGCAATGTCCAGACTAACGGCCAACGCCTCCCCCTTGGACTCTACTGCCTCCGCCCATCTATGGGTCAGGTAGACCAGAAGATCACCAGCTGATCGACCCCGACGAAAACCGTATTGGCGGTCACTAATCAGCTGGTGATCCTCAAGGTACCGGATGAGCTGGCAGTTAATAATGGATTCCATTATTTTGGAGAACAAGGAGGTGATCGCGATAGGCCTATAGTTGGATGGGTCTGAGCGGTCGCCTTTTTTAGGGATCGGGTGGACAAAAGCTGTCTTCCATGAATTCGGGACTACGCCTTGGGAGTAGGAGTACCGGAAAAGACGCGTTAGGACCGGTGCCAACTCCGGAGCACACGTCCTCAGCACAATTGGGGGGATTCCGTCAGGCCCACTCGACTTCTGGATGTCCAGGGAGAGCAGTGCTTTGCGAACCGAGCGCTGTGAGAACAGCACATCCGGCATGGAGCACTCACACCGCGGGATGGTCGGCGGTGTTTTCCCCCCATCATCAAGAGTCGAGTTGGATGCAAAAAGGGAGCCTAAAAGGTCGGCTTTGTCTTTTGCGTCATGAGCCAGTGAGTCATCCTCCCTGTGCAGAGATGGTAGTGATGGCTTACAGAAATTCCCTTGGACAGCCTTGGCGAGAGACCAGAATGCACGGGTTCCCGAAGGAAGGCGAACTAGCTTCTCGCCAATTCTGCCTATGTGCTCTGACGTTGCCTTGGCAATAACTCTTTTGAAGGACCTGGAGGCGAAGTTATACTTCTTTTTAAGTGTGCTGGTATTTACATCCCGAGTCGTCGAAGCCGCAGCCCAGGCTTGATAACACTCCTGCTTACTGCGTAATGCAGTCTTACAGGAGCGACCAAACCAAGGCTGAGATCTGCCTCCGATGGGTACCACAGATGATGGAATAAATAGTTCCATTCCCTGTAGCACCACATCAGTGACAGAGTCAGCAACAGCGCTGGGATCATCCGGCGAGAAGCAAACCCGCCCCCATGGGTAGGATGCAAAGAAGGACCGCATTCCGTCCCAATCCTGTAATGCCAAACACGGCGGCAACCTGCAGAACGCAACCGCGAAGGGAGCGTGAGTGGCACCACACTCCGAATCAGACAATGGTCCGAAGAGCCGAGAGGGGCATCGACGGAAACCAGATATCCGTCCGGATGAGAGGTCAGCAGAAGGTCCAACAGGGAAGGTGTATGATCCTCCACATCTGGAATCCGCGTAGGCGAAGTAACCAGTTGTGTCAGACCATATGCCAAGGCAAAGTCATAAACAGATCTCCCCGCATGATCGGTTAGACGTGAACCGAGCCATTCGGCATGGTGGGCGTTAAAATCGCCAAGGATCACGATCTCTGCGGATGGGACCTGTTGTAGCAAGAAATCTGTAGCCATTTGGACGTGGTCGATGAGTCGGTCTGTTTCGGCATTACCGCTATGGGACCTATAGAGGCACCCGTAGACGCGCGGATGGTCGTCGCTGTCTACGCGTAGCCAAAGGATGGACAGGTCCGAACCTTCAAGACTGCCGAGGCGTCGAGAACAGATGTCCTCTCTGACATACACGCAAACTCCAGCCCGAGGCACAAAGGAATGCTCCAATTTGTACCCCGGGTAGGAGAGATACGAAATATCAGCCGGAGAGGAAACCTGCGTCTCGGTCAGAAAGAGCAAGGCCGGCTTCGCCGTCTCGAGATGGTAGTGGACGGCGTTTAGGTTAGAGTGAAGTCCCCTGATGTTGCAGAAATTCACGGATAGCGTGGCAGGGGTCGCCTTGGTGTTCTTGCTCAGTTTGCCCCTAGCAGTAATGCTTTTGAGCGGAATTTTGCCCCCCCTAGAATACGCGGGGCAGCCTGAGCACCCACGCTCAGGATCG